ACTTTAATACAGATGTGATACAAATAATTAATCTGTGGTAGGTGCTGTTTTCAATTAATTAATCGTATTATGGAACTCAGTGGATAATAGAATTCGATGCTGATGTTGTTTGTTAAAATAATTACATGCATCTAATTTTGATCATATATTTGTATTAAATTATTTATTCCAATTGACTTGCCTGTTATTGATTAACTTTATCTTGGTCCATGTCAAAACGACTACTACTATTGCGGCCTTATTAAGAAAAGAGCTTATTCCTTCTTAATCGGCAACGCACTTGCAATTCCCCTGGTGTTGCGTGTGCTCATCATCATCATCATCATCTCAGCCTGGAAGACGTCCACTGCTGAACAAAGGTCTCCCCCAAAGATCTCCACGACGATCCGTTCTGTGTCTGCTCATGGGCGGCGGTGATCACTTAACGTTAGGTGAACCACATGCTCTTTTGTATTTATTTTGTTCTTGGTCCATGTCAAAACAACTACAATTTTTTATACCGTATCCCATCTTAATTGGGATCTCCTAATCATCCGTCTCCAGAGGCTTCTTATCTGGATCGTCATTGGGTCTATATCTATAAATGAAAGATCTTTTTTTAAATCACGGCTATCCATGTAAGTCGAGGTCTTCCTTGTTTCTTTTATTTATGATTGACGTATACATTTCTCCTCAGGATTGACGGCCTCGGTGGTGAAGGGGTTAAGCACACCGCTTTACTTCCGAGGGTCGCTGGTGCGATTCCTCGTACGGTGTATAAATAAAAACGGCATGATGGTATTTTCACATCTCTCTAATATTTTTATTCATAAAACAAATGAATGCACAGCGAATTCGAAGTTCAAAATAATTACAAACGAGTTTTAATGTCTCGTACACAAGGTACAAACATTTGTATTCATGAGGATCATTGTTTGTATCAGTCTGGGTGTTCTCTATGTATATTATATATATAATATACATAATACATATTTAGAAAAAAAAAATAGATATTTATATCAGTTGTCCAATACTCATAACACAAGATCTGCTTACCTTAGGAATAGGTAACCTTGTATGAATTATCTAGGGGTATTATACTTAGGGTATCATTTTCTAGTCATAATATGGTCTTTTCGTCTAGTTAAATAGGTCTTATTTTGTCTACCTTGAATAGGTCTTATTTTAAACCTTCCATGCAAGGATAGGCACCTTGTCATCATGTCTAACTCCAGCGGACCGCCTGAGCAAAAGCATTTTCGGTCACATGTAATTTATCTGATTGTTGCTTCTTAGTGACCAACACTGCCTACATCATAGCCGGTCTGACGGTAGTTTTATAAATTTAGCATATACCTTGATGACATGTCAAAAGAACAGTAAAAAATTTTATGAATCTAAAATCCAATTAGATTAGATTCCAGAGCGGACCTGCGACCTTATGCTTATCTTATCAGCCAATACTTATGCCTCACTAATGGCATAACATGGTATGTAATATAATATAAGGTGTGGGAGTACGCTGGGAGGGCGTGTGCATTCCATTATCATCCATTAAAAAAACTATGTAACAAGTTTATACAAGTATATGTACATAATGAATTTAGAAGCCAGGAAGGAGATAACATGCTCACTTTCCAGCAATAGTATTTCCAATCCCTCAAGGACTCTTTGCTTGAGGGACTTGAGGCCCTTCTTCTTAAAAGGCCGGCAAGTCACTTGCGATTCCCCTGGTGTTGAGGGCGCTTATTGGCGGCGGTAATCAGTTAACAGCAGGTGAGGCATAAGCGCTTTTGTCTCCTAGGCTATAAATTAAAATATTTTTTCTATAATGGATGATATGTAATGGTGCACCCCCCGGCATACGATATTGAAACCTTCAGGGAAAAGCACTTGCAATTCCCCTGGTGTTGCGGATGCTCATAGGCGGCGGTAATCACTTAACATCAGGAGAACCACGTTCTCGTTTGTCTCCTATACAATACAATAATATATTTTTTATAATGGATCATAATGGAATGGTGCACCCAACGGTGCTTAAAGTGGTGATAATGGAGCATGAGGTCAGATGAGCTAGCCCATCGTTACAAGGAATTTGACATGATGATTTCCAGGGGGAACCGCATGTAGTAAAAACGGTTATTTCAATATTACAAACAGACACTCCAATTTTATTTATATGTATAGATTAATAAGCGAATTGAAAAAAAAAGTATAATGTATAACTTGGTACAGTTCCTTAACAACCACAATAGAATAAGATTATGATGTGATGGAATGTATATATATGTGATATATGTAACTACGCAAGATAATAGAGTTTTAGCTATTGTATCTACTTACTATCTCTATCAGTATCATATACAGAGTGCTGCTAAATAGAAGGCATTTTTTATCGAAAGCTGTTGACCGCAGCTGGCCTTTATAGCTTCACCGAACGATAGGAGGCGATTATAGATGACACTTCTAACCCGCGGAAGCACTTATGGAACGGCTAAACACCAATTCCTGACTAATGGATACGACTTTAGTCTGAGGCCACCGCTAGGGGGTTCGAACCCCGGCTCAAACTATTATAATTTCGATCCCCGTTTGAATTGGTCGGTTTACTTCCGATGATTGCGGGTTCCATTCCTCGTACGGTACTAACACTTGTTTTCTTGAGTATTACAGTTTGTATCGTTTTGGTTGTTTTCTGTATATATTATGAATGTATTTACATAAACATATGTTTATGTTATATATATGTGTAATATTTATATCATAGATATATATATATATCTATGATATAAATATTCTACAGTTTTCTAGTACCCATAACACAAGCTCTACTTAGCTTGGGACTAGATGGCGCTGAGTGAATTATCCTGAGATATTATTATTATTAGGAAGGTAGATAATTTGGTAACAACCTATATAATAGTAGTAAATGAGTCAACTATATTGTTATTGTTTATAATATAGAAACTATATAGATATTCAGTCATAATATTACAACTATTAGTCATATTTATAAGGAAAACGGAAGTATCAAGGACAAAACTAGAGCAGCCCACAGGTGTGAGATGTAAAAACCCCACTACTTAGTAAACAGGTAAATAAAATACTTGAGGGTAATCCTCAAGAATTTTTGCTATTCATAATTGCAATCATATAAATTTACGCTGCATTTTGAAACTTTCAATGACTACGTAAAATAAATAAATAACCTTGAACAATTAACACAGCGCCATGTAGACCCACGGTAAGCAGCGTTTGCCTTACGGGTACTAGACAATTGATATAAATACAGATATATATATATTTTTGTAAATATAGAAAACACCTAGACCAATAGAAACAATCATATTCATGAATACAAATGTTTGGACCGTGCGCGGAATCAAACCCGCGACCATTGGAAGTAAAGTGGTGTACTAAATCGCTACCATAGAGGCCGTCAAAATCGGAAACCCATCGATTTCCATCAAAACTAATATTATTAATATGGAAGTGAGTCTGTCTGGCTAATTGCAAGTTTTTTTACAACTAAAACGACTGAACGAATTTTAACGTTTGATATAAAAATAGGATATATATTGCCAGAAAGGATTTTTTTATTACAAACTACCTCGGTGGTAGCATGTTACCAGACTGCTTTATTTCCGATGGTAGCGAGTTCGATTTCTCGCACAATACAAATATTTGTATTTATGAGTGGATTGTTAGTATTGATCTGGGTGTATATGTATGTATTTAAAAAAAATACTTCTTTCTATCAGTTCTACTAGGCTTGGGACTAGGTGACGATGTTTGAAGCGTCCAAGGCTATTACAATATTGTTGTTAATAAAAATTAAAACCACTACAATCCTATCGTATGTTGTCTCTGTCTGACCAATAATAAATATAACTCAAAAAAGCACCAAATGATTGAGTAACTAAAATGAGTTTATTTCGTTTTTGTGTTTAATAAATAACTAGCTACCAACCCTGGCTTCGAGTATGTATATACATACATATATGGTATTATATATACTACAAACTAGAGATGAAACGGATAGCAGTTTGGCCGGATACCGGATACCGGATATTCGGCCAACCATGTGACCGAATCCCTCTTGAATCTCTCTATTTATTGCTAAAAACTGTATTAAAATCCGTTAGGTAATTTAAAAGATCTAAGCGAACAGACAGAACAGATTTATTTTATACTTTGTAAAGATGGAGTATCTATTCACGTCACCCGTATGACCTATTTTTTAGGAATTTCATGAAATTTTGTATTCCTTAATGCCTATTTAATAAAAGAAAGATGGACGAACAAAATAGAATTTATTAGGTACATCAAATATCACAAGATACTTTAATTTAACAAATAAAAGTATTTAAATCTTTACAATTACTACGATATCAATACTAACTTGTTACTTATATCCATATTTGGTAATGACTAATGAGTAAAAAAAAAATAAAAAGATAGGTGTTTAAAACATAATCAATAAGAATGGGTTCTAGTTACAGTTACACGAATGTAGGTATATAAATTCAAATATAAATGTACATATTTAAAAATAAAGTAACATATAACATACAATATGAAATTATAATCGAGTCAGTTATTCAATAAAATATACAAAAGTGATGGTTCGTACAAAATCATTAATTGCATTAAATATATGGCTTTTAATATCTATGAAAAAGATGAGATTTTGTGAGTTTTTTTGCATATGGAGATAATCTCCAAAACCACTGCACTCATTGCCAAAACTCTATTACAGATGCTTAGTACCTAACAAATAAGAGCGACAGAAAAAACAACGTCTAAAAATAATAATTAATACTATACTAATGATATACTCTAAAGAGGTAGATACAATTTCTAATATAACCTAATGTAATTTAAATAACATAAATCTAAAATAAAATCTAGTACTAATCACTACTCTCTTGATCATCCAAACGAATGTTTTTATATATGCTTGAAACTCTGTATGTACATGTACTATATATACACAGTTTCAAATTCTATATATACTAGATCTGTGGAATTTCTAATAAAATCGTTTGCAATACCGTAAAATACCGTGGAACCTTTTAAAAAGAAAACATACATATATGTTCGTAAGAGTAATTGACCAATTTTCTTAACGCTGAATTAACACACAAGGCTTCTTTTAATATTATTCTGTTATAAATTAACAAGTTGTAATGTAAGAAATATAATCCAGATTCTTCTTAAATACTATTTATAAACTTAATAATAGTTTTATTCAGTTTTTATTGTAGTCCAAATTAGTCAAAATCATCATCACCTTTCTCTTTTTCGTCTCCCATAACTTCCCAATATGATGGAGGTGGTTCATCACACTCTAAGCTTTGTTGATCACCGCCAATTATATCACCAATCTGAACTGGAACTTTTAATACCGCATTAAAATGTGGAAATGGTATAATAGCTTTTATCTGTAGGAAATATTCCCTAGCTACAACATTGGAAAATTCAAGCGATGTTCTTTCTGAAGGTACATTAATCAAGCCATCCAAGTTCATAGTCTCTCCGCTTGCTAAAGATCCTGTTTTGGTATCTGTGCCATCTATATCTCTGGTAATTTCTACTTCCCTTACCTTTCCAGTCGTAAAACCATGTATTTCAATCAATTTAGTTTCTACTCCTTTAATTGTATGCTTAGTATTGTTGCAAATTTCGTAAGTGAATTCAATCTTACCACCTATTGGTATCACGGAATTTTGTATATTCGCTTTTATGTTGACTGTGTTGCTTTTGGAGAACATCTGGAAAATTTTCTTTTGCTTTCCGTGTATGACCGGCGTTGTTGGTAATCTGGGTTTAATACCTGATGCTACTGTTATTTCTTTTTTGAATCTCTTATTGAAGTTAAACATGCCCTGTCTTTCAAACTTGATCCGTACGTAATATTCAATTTTACACCGCACACTATATCTGGCTGTTCGATTACAATATTTCAAGGAGGATGGTATTTCTTCCGGCAATCTGAAGCTAAATTGCGTCTCATACATACCTATAGGTAATGCAGCATCTTTATCCTCATTTGTGTATACGACATTATCAATATCTACATAATCCTCACTTTTTCTGTAAGTGTCCACAGCTCGACCTCTGTTCTTGGCTTGCTGATCACGTATTATCACAAATCCGTGGCCTTTTAAGGATACGGTTATCCTTTCAAACTCTGTTTCAGCATCAATTCCATACTTTATAGTACCTGACACTACACTTCCAGGGACGAAGACACCATCAGATCGTTTATGTAAATTGATTTCGCAATGTATTCCCATTTTGAATATTATAATTTTTTCAACACTATTTCCTTCTATAACGGTTACCGGCGTGATAATAGTACTTTATCAGACGGCAACGACTATTTGTAATTGTGTTATTTATCGGCTTATCCTATTTCACAATATAGTAACCACACAAACACACGAAACGTCACGTCTTATCTCACATTCACAAATCGATGATAAAGAATAGCTACACTCAATAGAACGCGTGTAGCGTTCAAAACACCAAGCAGTATTTACGTCGAGTCGGACGTAAATTGTTTTATTGCTCAAAAATACCTTTTATTAATATAAAAACAATCAAAAACTGTTTCTTTAAGTTTCCATTATGCCTCAAATATATTTATCAGTGTAATTTTCCTTTAAATAAACAAAATTAATTGTACAACTGAACAAAAAACGCGCGTGCCGTTCCCATGGCGTAAGGTGAGTTACTAACTTGGCCTGGCATTGAACTACTGATTCATCAGACCCATTGCATTTGATGCTTAGGGGTGTCAATCGTATGAAGTCAAGATGTACATTTAAGAGATTTTTGTTATGAAGACATTATCATTCTGAAAACAAATTTATACGGGACTAGTTGACTCCGCAAATATTGTTGTGTCATATAAATTAAAATCGCTATTAAAAAATAGCGGTTGATGGTAGAAGGGTGAAAATTTAGGGTTGTATATACATTTTAATGCCACGTTGTGAAAAAATAGTTGTCCATAACATAAAAAAAAGTTAAATGTTGGAAAAACCTTATCACTAAGGGGTATAAAAATAGATAGTAGCCGATTCTCAGCACTACTGAATATGAATTTCATAAAAATCGGTCAAGCTGTTTCAGAGGAGTATGGTAACTAACATTGTAATACGGGAATTTTATTTATAAGATTTAAACCTGAGTGATTTGGTTAATGTAAACAGCCACACAAGGAACAAACTTAAGCTGTATACGCCTTTCCTCATTCTCATCCTCTTCGGTCAAAGATTAGATAGATAGTGTTGCGGACCACGAGTCGGCATCGAAAATATGTAAATAAATTTGTGTATAAATTTGTATTTTTCCAGTGTTTTGACTATTGTTTAGGTTAGACTATTGTTTGTACCATATACCCTTTGTAGCGGCATAGATACTGTGAATTCTATGTCCGCCCATTGTGTAAATTCTTAGGGATCACAGCTTTAGTGTAGCCTGAACATGTGGCATTTAGTCGCACGTGGTTTTTTGTAGTTTTTTGTGTTGTTACTATTGTATTTAATTTTAAATGTGTGCGTATTCGCTGTTCCGGCCCGTCGGTCACCGACATGTGCAGGAATTGTCGGGAGGGTGGGACGGCCGACGCGCACGGCTCGGCGGGGGTGGGGAAGGACGCGCTCGGGCGCCCGTAAAAGGCGGGTTGGTTCTCGATCGCGCTCTCTTACGCATACGCCACCGACGAAGAACCACCGCCGGCGCAACGAAGCAAGAAAACCCCACTCCGGCCGGCCGACCCATAGAATAAGAAACAAATTGAAATACAGTCCACACATTTAGAAAATCGAAGACCTTTTAATTGTGTACCCCACAATTTTGTGGTCCATCGCAGCCGCATATCAAGACCGAAGATCACCCAACGGTGCGACGAATCGCCGTGGAAGATCACCCAACGGTGCGACGAATCGCCGCGGAAGATCACCCAACGGTGCGACGTACCTCGCCGAGGAAGATCACCCAACGGTGCGACGCTAGCAGCTTACCGAATTTAGCTGCCGTCGTAAGGTGAAACTTGAGGGTGCAGCGAGGATAGGATAAATAACGTCTACGCCATATAGGATAGATAACGTCTAAGCGGTGTGTCCGCGGCTCACATCTCTTACCACCTAACGGTGTCAAACGGTCGGAGTGTGGGTTAACGCCATTGAGCGGTGCAGTGGGTGGTGTGTCACTGCCGGTTGTTGCTTGTTACCGTGGCGCAACCGAATAGCACTATTACGCCTGTACGTGTGTATCGTATAGCGGGGGCCGGACTGTAGGCACTGCCAAAGGGGTCGGAAAGTCCGAACCGGCCCTGAGCGCCCCGTCTGTACATACGCACCACTGCGGGGTAATTCCTACCCTCCTATCCCCATAGTCCATCCCCTCGGGTGTTATCCTGAGGGATTGTTAGGGACGGTTAGGTAGGTAGGGACCGGTAGGTTAGGGGCTTGCAAGTGCCAGAACACGATGCCGACTACGAGAAGCCAAGCCCCGGGAGCAGAGAAAAAGACCACGCGGGAAAATGAACAGACAGAAGCGTCCCCTTCAGAAACCACGCAGATGTCCGCGTCCGCCGCGCCGTAGCCGCCCGCGCCGCGTTTACCTCGGACTCCGCACCGGCGCCACCGTCGCAGCCGCCGACGACAGATGTACGTCCGGCCCGGGCCGCGTCGGTGCGATCGCGCCGCTCTACCGCTAGCGGTATAGCTAAATTAAAGAGGCTGGAGTACGAGGCAGCGCTACAGATGGCGAAATTACAGGCTGATTTAATTAGAAAGAAGTTGGCAGCCGATGTCGCCGCGGTACATATAGAGATAAGGAATGCCTGCAACGTATAACGGATTGGTTTCAACGTACCGAAGTACGGGGGAGCAGAGAATTAATTCCCCACCGCCTAGGCAAGCTTCACCGCCGAGGACGCCGAAGCAAAGACGGATGAAGCCGGGATGCAAGAAGGATTCACCCGGCTGGCCAAAGCTATTGAACGAGCTGTGGACGAACGAGCGGATATAGCGCCGAGGCAAGCCCAAGATCTCCCGCTCTACAGCGGCGAAGCAAGTGCATGGCTAGCGTTTAAGGCGGCCGTAGACCAGTCTACAAAGACGAACAGGATCACACCAGCGGAGAACCTGGCCAGGCTGAGGGCCTGCTTTCGAGAGAGACAGTCGCAGCGTTACTCGTATCCGCTACAGAACCGTCGCAGATCATGAGGACGTTGGAGCAGCGGTACGGCCGGACAGAGGCCATCATCGACCGCGCCCTCAAAGATCTGAGAAGGATGCCGGTAATAGGAACATCGACAACAGAGGTGATTGACTTCGCCATTAAACTACAGAACATCACCACCATCGTCGCGGATATCGACAGGGGGGCGAGATTGTCCCGCGCTTGAGAGTGAAGTGTCAGAGAAGCTGACCCCTCACTTACAGGTCCACTGGTGTCACTACGCTGAAAAAAACAAGGAGGACACTAGACCTACGATCATCAAGATGGCAGAGTTTTTAATGAGCGAAGCCGATCTCATGACCCGACATCTACGAATAGCATCACCAACGAGACGAACGAGCGCGATACCCACGAAGCAGCCCCCGAATCAACCCACTAGTCAACCCATACCGAAAGCAACGATGTCGGCACCTCGGCGACAGATGACGGATCGTGGCGCGGCCGTATACGCCGCCGTAGAAAAGAGCGAACAGAGTACCGAATGTCTCTGTTGCGGCGCCGCACACGTAACGCCGAAGTGTAAGAAGCTGAACGACATGTCGTTATCGGACAGATGGGAGTGGGCGAAAACAAATAAGATGTGCTTCCAATGCATGAACAGCACGCACAGAAGGTTCAAGTGTAAGGCACGCAAATGTGGTGTGAGAGAGTGTCGTGCCACACCACGCCCTGCTGCACCCCCAGAAGAGCCGCCGAAGCGGCAAGAGGACACCGCGATTACAGCCGCAGCACGCTTAGTGTTGTTAAAGGTGTGTCCCATCATCGTGAAAGGCAAGACGGGACGCGAAGTAGAGACGTACGCGATGCTAGATGAATCGACGGTTACACTCATCGATGCGGAGATCGCAGAACAGATCGGAGCCGAAGGTCCGACGCGATTCTGAGAATTCACAGCAGCCTCAGCTGGCACGAATCAAGCCGAGTGGCTGATGTCATCATCAGAGGGCGACACCATACTCGGTGAGGGCGCGTACGATTGATCTCACCCTAGGAACGCAGCGAGTGAACCCGGAAAACTCGCGTTTCACTTGCGACCAAGTGTGCACGAAGAAGACCCAAGGTCTTTCGGGTCAGACAACTGGCATCTGATTGTTACGCGGAAGCTGCTCATAGGAAGGCACAATCAACCCGCAGCGTTTATGGGATGGGTCATCCACGGAAGTACCCAGTTTTGTCGTGGAAGACGAGGAACATGTCTCCACGTGCGGTTGCATATAGAGGGCATAATAAAAGCGCATTACGACATCGACGCGTTGGGTATATCGTCGAAGAGATTACCCATCGCTAAGGAGGAGCGCGCCGTCGCCACATATATGGGCGATACGTTAGGATTGCCGTGGGAGAGAGATAACGTCGTTCTATATATAATAGCCGACTGAGGGGAATAGAGCGGCGGATGGATCGCTCTACGGAATTCCGGCTGGCGTATACCGCGGAGATAAACAAGTTGTTACAAGGGTTACGCCGAGAAAGTAACCGACGACCGGTTCAACAACGACCGCGCGTGGTACCTTCCCCATTTCGGAGTGACGAATCCGAATAAACCCGGAAAACTGCGATATTCGACGCCGCGGCGTTCGAAATTTATACTGCTGGATGGGCCAGATATGCTACGGTCGCTTAACGGTGTGTTATACCGTTTCCGCGACCGTTCATCGCACACAGCGTTCGAGACAGGAACGCGGCAGAGCGCCGAGAGTCGCACCCGTCAGCGTACACCGCCATAACAAGGAACCACTACATGGACGACTGGGTCGACAGCTTTGACTCCGAAGAGGAAGCAGCCCGCGCCATACGAGAGGTAGTAGAGGTTCATGGCGGGATAGGATTCACGCTGGCGGGTTGGAATACAAACCGACCGAGCCTGCTAGAGAATGTGTGTGAGGACCAGCGAGCGAGGACGCCGAAGGAACTGAGATTGCCGCGATGGTATGGCACGAACGACAGCCAACGGTCGCAACTGCACGTATTCACGGACGCAAGCGAACAGGCATATGCCACAGCCGCGTATTGGAGGACGGAACGCGAGGATCGTAGCGTTAACGTCGTCCTGGTAGCAGCCAAAGCGATAGCGCCTTATACCCCGGATGGAGCTTCACTGGTAGGACCCCGACTGGCCGCTGACGTCCTGAAAGGACGTCGTCGCGCGGCCGAAGTCTTCCTATGGACGGTCTCGAAGAAGACGCTACATTGGACTAGGAACGACACCGCTCGATACAATCCACACGCGGCCCGCCGGATGGCA